AGAAAAAAAATAGGGGCTGGGGAGGTGGCTCAGTAGAATAAACGCTTCCCTGGCAAGCGCAAAGGCCTGAGTTCAATCCCCGGTTCCGCAAAAAAAAAAAAAGAAAGAAAGAAAATAAAACAAAATTTCAAAACAAGATAATATGAGGAGGGGCCAGGGAGATGGCTCAGTAGAATAAGCGCTTTGCCTGGCAAGCGCACGAGCCTCAGTTCAATTCCCTGGTTCTGGGTGGGAAAATTAATTAATTATTCAGAGTACAGTACAAGATATAAGCATTTAATTGTCCAAACAATATTAATACAAACCTTTCTTTTCAAAGAACTAAGGCAAACTATATTGTGTGTGTGTGTGTGTGTGTGTGTGTGTGTGTGTGTGTGTGTTCCCCCCTCCTTAGGAAGATATTTTACACATTTCAAATTTGAAAGGATGCCAGATGTGTTGGCACATGCCTATAATCCCAGCACTTGAGAGACTGAGGCTGGGATTATAAGCACGTGCTGCCACGTCTAGCCATCGGCCCTCTTTCCACATACTCTTTCCCTCTGAAGAGCAGCTGAACTATGAATAAAAAGAATCAGGGAAACAGCTAGCCAAAAGTGCCATTTCCTTCTAATTTCTTTTTAAATTTCAGCAGACTCTAAAGCTTCCTCTGGAGGCTGCTGTGGTTTTTTTGGTTGGGTTTGGGTTTTTTTGGTGGAACCAGGGATTGCTGAATTCAGGCCCTTGCGCTTGCCAGGGAAGCGTTTATTCTACTGAACCATCTCCCTGGCCCCTTCCTCTGGAGCTTAGCTTTTAAAAAGAAGACTTCATTTGAGACATCCAAATTATCTCATCATGAATGAAATTTTTCTGGTCCCTGCTATCCCTACTTGGACTTAACATTGTATGTATTATCACAGAGATGTTTCCTCTACACTCAGTACAGTCCTTCTTGGTTAATATGTCTCAGTACTAAATAGAATTCTGAATCTAAACATTTGCAACTAGCTCTATTCATCACTGTTACACAGATCCTAAGTCACTAAGGCCCCAAACAAGTCAAGTCCTTATTTACCCACATTAACTTACATTCAAATAGTATAGGGATAAGTATTGCTGATCAGCTGATATCTACCCAAACAATACAAAAGCAATTAGGAAAATAAATAACACTAAAAATATCTAGGGCTGGTGAGATGGCTCAGTGGTCTAAAGCACCTACTTAGAACAAGCTTAGCAAAGCACAGGGACCGCGGTTCAATCCCCCAGCACC